TAGATAGATAGATAGATAGATAGATAGATAGATAGATAGATAGATAGATAGATAGAATGATAGATAAAATAAATAAATAAATACATGAATTAATAAACAAATAAATAAATAAATGAGTGAATGAATGAATGAATGAATGAATGAATGAATGAATGAATGAATGGGGGTTACAGGCATGTGCTACCATGACCAGTTTTATATGGTGCTGGGCTCAGTAGACAAGCACTCTACCAACTGATCTGCACCTCCTAACCCTTAACAGAAACTTTAAGCTCCCTTTATTCATAGGAAGGAATACGTAAAAAACCTGTACCTGGTCACATGTTAATCTGCATCAGTTTTAAAGGGAGAAAAGAGAGATTGGGGAAGTTCTAGGAAAATCAATCCTGTGCTCTGACTTTAAATGATTAACAAAGGCTATACAAGACACAAACTCTTCTAGCATTGGATAGAAATATCCATAAGTACAACATGGAGGTTGTGGGCTAAACCATAAACATGGCTACATAAACACAGAGAGAGAGAGAGAAAGAGAGAGAGACCTCCTCTTTCTTTTCCTGTTTTCCTTTTACAGATAGTAAAAACATAATACACAAGCATGTACCTTTCTGTAAACTTAGCAGCCATTCTCAACAATTAATCTTCAAGATATATAAATGAATTTCATCATTTCTAAACAAATGTTGAATTAGCTTGCTGGACTGGTATGCCACATTTATCAAGCAAGTCCCATGAGTGACAGGTTATTTTCCCTTGTTTGCTAGAATAAACCAGAGTGCGTTAGATCTTCCTGTTTCAGTTGTCAAAGAAACTTAGAAATGAGGCTTAAAAGTTACGCACGCATTAGACTTTTGATGCTGCCAGGCACTCTCCAATGGACACAGCATGACTTTTACTTATGAAAGTGATGATTTTTCAGTACTTCTACCAACCCACAGTGGCATCAACTTGTTGGTCTTGTTAACTTCAAAATGTCATCACATTGTTTTCTGATGATTATTTTTGGATGAATCATTTCATCAGTTTTCCATGTATTTTAAGCTGTTTGTCTTTCTGTGTAATCTCCATATCCTTGGTGTGTTTGTAAATACCAAGAAACCATCCACTTGTAAAGAGGAAGGGTCTATTTGGGCTCACAGTTTTGCAGGTCTTAATCTGTGGTCACTTCGCCTGTGATGAGACAGCACATGATGACAGGAGTGTGAAGGAGAATGACGCTCCCCACCTCCTGCCTGAGAAGTGGAGAGAAAGAACATACTGGCTCTAACTGTTCTGTTTGAGATGCCTCCAGTGAGCTAATCCTCCCTTAGTCCTGCCTCTTTCAGGGCTGCTAAGGACTGGGCCTTTGGTGCATGACAATTGCAGACAGAAACTGCAGCACTTGCCCTGTGCTTTAAGTTGGAAGTCTCATGTCTGTTATCTCCCCCACCCCAGCCTGTGGGTAGCAGCCACCCCAGTGTGATTGTGCTGGGTTTATCCTTTGAGCTGGGCCTATTTTGGAAAAAATATATATATATATGTTATGTATGTTATGTAGATATATGTTATCTATGCATGAGTCACATAAATTACATTGTGCTGTACATTATAGTTTTTCTTTAAAAATCTTTTATTTGAGAGTATTTGTATGGATGGGGGGGTGCCAAAAGTCCTCAGGCTTCGTGGTTGGCACCTTCACCCACCGAGGCATATTGCTGGCCCCTTGATCTTTTTCTTACTCGCTAAAGACAGTTTTTTTTTTTTTTTAATTCATTTGCCAGTGCTGTACATTAAGCTTTATTTTTCTGATAGCCACATAGCTGGAGTTTGGGGAATATTCTAACAGTCAGTTATTATTGGACTGGTCTAGAAAGGGTGGGTCGGGGTATTGTGGAAGCCTTGAAGGGTGGAGAAGGTTGTATGAGAATACGAGAAAGAAATAGAGCTGACTAAGAGGAGGGCCCACACCATAAGGGTTTTTTTGGGGGGCGTGTATAAAGTGTTTCTAGTCAGTGGAGATTTCCGGGGTAAGATGATGTCACACTGGTGGGAAATTAAGGTGGGCTGAGGACATGATATCTGAGAGGCCAGGAGCAGCTGCAAGTCTCAAGTTAGACTGGAGAGATCACAGTAGCACTGAGCCCCCCAGGCATGAAAGGAAAAGGCCCAGGGTGGTAGCAAGACTGCTCACAAGAAAAACCGACTCTGAGTCTATTTGCTAGATAGGACCTGGGAAGGCCAGGCTGCAACGCAAGGGTGGGGACGGCACTCTTGGCATATTAGCAGGCAAGGTCTGAAGTCCCGTGGAGAGTTTGTCTGTGGATAGAACTCTGGGCTGGACAGGGATTGATGAGTCCTCAGCAAGTGGCTGGGAGGGGAACACATGACAGTGAGATCACCCGGAAGAGCAGAGTGAAGGCTACAGAGGCCTGGCCAGAACAAGAGCCCTCCGGCAACTATAGAAGAAGTGGATGGACAGGCTGAACTGGCTGAGACATGGTACTTTTTAATGGACTCTCTGCCATTCTGGATTTGAGCCTAAGTGGAGAGTGGGTTATAGACAAGGCCTGAGGAACCACCCCTTCCTGCCTGCCTTGGAGGATGCAGAACATGCTTGGGCAGAAAA